GGGTTGCTACAGCCGTGATGTCACTCGCCCATCCTAACCCGCGGTTGGTTGTTTTGTGTTTCAGCTCTGCCTGCAGTTGCACACAAAGACTTGGAGGAGGAAACTCCCACGTCCTCGAGGAGAAGAAAGGAGGCGGCGAAGCAGATTAAAGGAACTTGTGGCTCGTGGCCCTTTTGCGCCAGGGCTGCCTGGACCTGGACCGGGGGAAAGTGAGTGTCAAGCCACAGTGGCGGTGCATGGGCTGTGAGATGAGGCGCTGCCGCCGCCGCTGCCGCTGCTGCCGCTACTGCTGCTGCTGACACTCAGGTTCCCGGGTCCGTCCGCTGCCCTTTGTGCTTCGTGTACATGTGTCTATTCAGCGCATCCGGAGGCGCCCAGCAGAGAATCCAACACGGCCGCCGGGGAGAGACCACCCACCATGCCCACGGAGACCCTACAGACAGGTAGCATGGTGAAGCCGGTCAGCCCCGCGGGCACCTTCACCTCGGCGGTGCCCCTGCGCATCCTCAACAAGGGGCCCGACTACTTCCGCAGGCAGGCGGAGCCAAACCCCAAAAGACTCAGCGCCGTGGAGAGGCTGGAGGCCGACAAGGCCAAGTATGTCAAGAGCCAGGAGGTCATCAACGCCAAGCAGGAGCCCGTGAAGCCGGCCGTGCTGGCCAAGCCCCCCGTGTGCCCCGGCGCCAAGCGCGCGCTGGGCAGCCCCACGCTCCGAGTGTTCGGGCCCAACGCCAAGACCGAGAGCGGCGTGCACAGGGAGACCCTGAAGCTCGAGATCCTGAAGAACATCATCAACAGCTCGGAAGGCTCCAGCTCCGGCTCCGGGCACAAGCACAGCTCCCGCAACTGGCCTCCGCACCGGCCCGACGCCACCGACCTGCACCGACACTCCTTCGCCGAGTCCCTGAAGGTCTACCCGACGCAGGGCCGGGGCAGCCCGCAGGAGAGCAGCTCCCACGTGGGCAGGAGGCTGCTGGAGCAGACCGCCGAGTCCTTCCTGCACGTCTCCCACAGCTCCTCGGACATCCGCAAAGTGACCAGTGTGAAGCCCCTGAAGGCGATCCCCTGCAGTAGTTCCGCCCCTCCCCTGCCTCCCAAACCCAAGGTTGCAGCCATCGCCCCCATGAAGTCCCCCGACGCCGACCCGGCGGAGCCGGCCTGCGGAGTCAGCCGGAGACCCTCCCTCCAGCGGTCGAAGTCGGACTTGAGTGACAGGTACTTCCGCGTGGACGCAGACGTGGAGAGGTTCTTCAACTACTGCGGACTGGACCCCGAGGAGCTGGAAAACCTGGGCATGGAAAACTTTGCCAGGGCTAATTCTGACATCATATCCCTCAACTTCCGCAGTGCAAGCATGATCAGCTCGGACTGTGAACAGTCGCAGGACAGTAACAGTGACCTTAGAAACGAGGACAGTGCCAATGACCGGGTGCCATACGGCATTTCTGCGATCGAAAGGAATGCCAGGATCATCAAGTGGTTATATAGCATCAAACAAGCTAGAGAGTCCCAGAAGGTCTCCCACGTGTAAGAGACAGTGCGCGTGTGCGAAGGAGGGAGGGGGTGGGTCTCTTGTCTGTGCATCTGCCGTTGTGAAGGTCGTGAGGTCTCCTTGAAGTGTTGTGAGCTTCTCCGCTCTCTTTGTGTTGCTTGTTGTGCAATGTTTTCAAGTTGCATGCCTGTCAACATGGGGACTGACCTGGCGTCCCGGTCAACCATCGCTGCAGAGCCTGGCTGAACACACGTCCCCTGCCAAAAAGTTTCAGGCCGGAATCGGATTAGGGCTTTGATCTCAAGCAAAACTGTTTACACCCGAAAACGGTATACAACTTCTTCAATATTTATGTGGTTCTTGTGTTTTCTATCCTGCGCTATTGTGTCTTAATTAAAAGTTTTATCAACTGGCTTTTAAGTTGAGAAGAGCATCTTTTTGAAACAAAAAGCCACTTTGCCTACGTGTGACACCAAAAACACGAGGGAAATAAATGGAACCTGCTAACCAAACTGATAGAGTCACTGACCTAAGATAGAGAACCAGGCTGGGTTTTCTGAGGAAAGAAAGTGGTGAGCCTGATGTTAACTCCTTACATACTGCAATTCTCTTGCCCCTTGCTGAAGTAATGGTTGGGCAACAATGCTACGTCCTGGGCCCTATTTAGTGTGTAAATAAACATTGGTGGCTCTGTGTAATACTGACCCCAAGGAAAGACAATCAGATACAATGAAGGTGATTATATCTAGGGGGTTGAATGTCTGGGGTTTTGTTGATATCCTTCTGATTTGGGTTGATTCAGAAGTTTCTACTATTAATCTTTTGACAGGAATGGCCACTCTGAAGTTGTTACTCAATGTCTTTAAATTTGGGGGGGTTTATTTTTGGTCAATAACTAATTCCATGCTGATTCTCTTCCCTCCCTCCTTCCCTTCCTTTGTTGTTTTATTTGGGAGAGAGGACAAGGGAGTGGGGCTTGTGCAGGTCTGTGCTATCTGAAGACACGAATCCACACGGAAATACCAGCCATATTAGTATCGAGTCTCCTATTCAATAGTGAATGCCTTGGGTAGCTGAATCATATCTGAGCAGTGTGGTTGTGTGGTCTTGCCTATGTTATTCGCTCAGGCTCTGGGCCTTTGTTACAACCCTAGGAAACTAGAAACACGACACTATAGAGTGTCCCCCCCCCACCCCATGGTCTCTAGTGCTACATATCAACTCATTCCCTTTCCCCGCCAATAACCTGTCTTCCAGTTAGCTGTCAACCAGCTGACAGTTGTGGTGTGGTAGCAAGAGGTACACATGCAGTGGTCTGCTTCATTGCTCTTGTAGTTATGCTCTGAAATTCAGGAGCACTACCTTAGACTTTGTCAGCTAATAAGAAACTTTTTATGGTGTAAATGCTGTAAGACTTTGTACATACTTCAGTTGTTATGAAAACTTGAAGAAAACAAAGGAAAACTTATGCTAATAAATAGCTCTGGTGCAGGCACTAATGGTGGTGGTTTCTCTTTGTACTTTCCTTTGCTCTCTCCATGGAAGTTTAACTTTGGCATGTGAGCCAGAAGCAGATTTTTGATGCTCTTCAAGAAATATTGTTTTATTACGTTATTTTCCCCATATCACAATTATTTGGGACATCAGTGTTCTTAATTGCAGCTCCAGCAATGTGCTTCTGCTTAAATAGTTGCATCAAGGCTCCTAAAAATATGCGGCCTCTTTGTTACTTAGTTCACACTTCAGTTATTTTTATCTTTTCTTAAACAACAAGACCTTTTACATCTTCCACTAGACTCTGGAGTTGTAACTACGTATGAATTCTTACAGTGGAGACATACCTTGGAAATTTATAGCCTTGTTCTTATTTTTATACAGGCCCAACATCATTTAACATGACGCGTGTCCATACATTTGTCACTCATTCATTCATTCTTTTTTCAACAGGTCACTTGTCCAGTGAGTCCCTTTTTCAGGCTTCACAATAGACACGTGACTGTTGTGGTCAACAACAGAGTCTCTGCCTCAAGGAACTTAGATTTTCACATTTATTTTAAGAGAAATATTCCTCTTAGTGGAAATGTCTTCTCTCCTTAGGACATTGAGTATTCAACGAGTATTTATTGAATCAAATTATTTGAAGGTTAACATTTCTTCAAAATTCCATATAATATGTAAATGTAAAAGAAAGTATTATTTAAAACGTCATTTTCAGAAACAGAAATGATGTGATTCCCAGCTATTACTGTACATAAACATTTTCCTTCTGAAAATCAAACTTGGTTCCTTGACTCTCTCTCTCTCCTGGTTTTGAATTCTTTCTGCTTTTCTGATTAATTTTCAGTTCCACTAGAACTGTACTTCCCAAAAGAAACATTTTGAAATTCATCTATGAGTGGTGATTATACAGTGCAATTAAGATAATGGGATGAAAATACACACACACACACACACACACACACACACACTTCCTTCACCATTGGGATAGAAATGTGGCCATTAAAATATTCAAGGCTTATTAGCATTTATATATCCATCTTTTTCTGGGGCTATTGAAATACCAAAAATAGATGTTCTTTTTCTAAGAAAACCAGTTTGTTTGGGAGATGAGCACTTCTTTGCTAATTTAATATCTATGCCTATGCTGTTTTAGTCATAAATCCTATTGAATCTTTCAACATTTTGAAACCACATTAAGTTGTATTCCAATGGGGCTATAAATCATCCCACTATAATTCAGCCTAATATTCTGTGGCCTTATTTTTGGTTCCCTTTATGGAAGGCAGGCACTCATTTTCTTTTTGTTCTTGAGATTAGAGTTTCTATAAAGGACTAATTCAAATGCTTAATAGTAAATCCTAAGAGGGAGATGTTTCCTAATGGTGAAGTCTTTTAAGCAAAATGCTCATTCTATTAAAGCATGGAAGTAAGTATCGTGTGTGTGTGTGTGTGTGTGTGATGATGGTATGAATACAGGGTTGTGATATAGTTCAGCACACTTTTCCCCCCTCTACAATGCAGAGCAAAGTATGATTGCACTGGATGGCCCTGGAAACTGAGGTTTCTTTCTGGAAAAAAAAAACCCAGCAATTTTTAAGACAATTCTCCCATATGCACCTCCTCTGCCATTGTCTTCGTTCTAACTCTCATCTTCTCTTACCTGAACTATTGTTCCTAGAACTTCCTAACTGGAAGTCTCCCTCCCCCTCAGCCAGGCTCTTCACAGCCTGTCTCATGCCAGAGATATCAAAATCAACTCTAATTATGTAAAAATGTCCTCTGTGTAAAAATATCCTCCAGCTTGAGTATTTTGCTGATAGTATAAATCCTAACTTCTTAACAAAGAATGTTGGGCACTTACCTTTCAGACCTCATCTTCTCTGTCCCCTTCAGCCACCCATCCGAGGTGCCAGGCTCCAAGCAAAGGAAGTTTCCATTGGAAACATGTTACCACTGTGTTAATGACTTATTGCTGTGTAGCAACCTTCCTCAACATTCAACAACTTACAACAATAAATGTTTAGTATCTCCGTTTCTGTGGTTCAGGAACCCTGGAGTGGCTTAGCCCTATGGTTCTGGCTCAGGGTGTCTCATTAGGCTGCAGACACGACATCAGCCGAGGCTGTATCATCTGAAGGCTCAGCTAAGGCTGAAGAATCTAATTTCAAGATGGTTCACTTGGTGTTGGCAAGAATCCTTACAACGTGGCATCTGGCTTCCCCCAGAGAGAGTGACCCACAGGGAAGCAAGGAGGAAGTCAGGATGCCTGTTGTGATCCAGTATGCTGAAGCACACCCACAACCACATTCAGTTCATTGAGAAGTGTGTCACCAAATCAGCCTGCACTAGTGGAGGGGAGTTAGACCTCATCTTTTAAAGGAAGGAATATTCAAGAAGGTATGGACATGTTTTGAAATCATCACTGCTGCTGAGATTCAGTAGCTTTTCATTCTGTGAGGAATGCTTTCTCTTCCCTCCTTGACCTTCAGATCCTTGTTCTTTCAAGATCCGATAGAACTATTAACCAGTGAGATTATTTTGAGTTTCTATGTTGCCTTTGCCCTTTAGGCTAGATAGCCTAAATGGTGCCTTTGTGAGAATTTTTAAATGGTATGCCTTTCTCAAAAAGTTTTATTTTCTGCCAAGAAAAAAACACACCTGTCCTAGTAAATTTACAAATACCAGAGAATTATAATGTAAACTATGGCCCCAGGGTTGGGCAGTGCATAACACGCAGCCCAGAGTAGATGGTCGATACTTAAGTGTTGAGTGAATTTTTTCTAACCTATCACGTTCAAGTCCTGTGCTACTTACACTTGAAATGTTATCACAATGAACCTAAGGGGATGGTAGTTGACCCATTTTAGAGGTTATGAACTTCAATTTCCAAGGAGATTAAGCCCTTTAACCAAGATCCCAGAGAAAGTAAGGGACAGAATGGCACTTGAACTAAAGTCTCTGAGTCCACCTCTGCCCTCCTGCAGCCCAGCTCACAAGGAGAGGCAGACTGAGTGTTGTACTTAAGAAAAGAAGTGCCCTCAAGTTCATCTTCATCTTCATGCTTTTATCTGCTGCCTGCATATATAAACATGTCTCAGTCAGACATTCAGCAATTTCACTCTTACCTAAATGGTAACCAATAAAAGTTAGAAAAAAGACTTCAGCTGTTCTATTAGAAGTCACATACAGCCCATTGAGTTCAAAGAGACAAGGCTATGCATTCTTTCAGTTTTGAAAGTGCTGTGTTTTGAAGCCACATCCTGCCTATTTTGATCAAGGACTTTTAGAAGGGCAAGCGGTAGAGAAGAGTGTCTGGCCACAATTCAATAATCAGGAAACACATTTGGACAATTTGGTGACTCAGCATCACTCCATTCCCCCATCCTTGAGGATTTTCATGGTGTGGTCAGACCAGAAGGTGCACCGGGGAAGGAATAAAAAAAGTAAAGCATGCTCCAGAGGAACTGAATAGATCCTTAACTCAGGAAGGACACTGCCATATTGAACATGTCACATTCCCCCTTTGTCCTGTGCAATGACAGAGTTCCATGGGCTTCTGCAGGGCAATCCACGAGCAGAACTGTGAGGACCACAGGCTCAGAGCCTGCACGTTCGGTTCTGAACGAGAGGGTTTCTCTCACGTGCTTAGCTCGTGCCCCCTTGCTGTGGCAGAAACCCAGAAGGAAAAACCAGACAGACAAGGGCCCCCGCAGCCTTTTGGAACCCCTTCGTCCAATACCTGAGACCCATCTGCATAAGAGTTTGCCTCCACTCTCTCATGTATAAAATGGGAGCAAAGCCATTTGCTGCACGTGTCCCCTTGGCCTCGGGGGCTTTGGGACAGCGCTGAGAGCTGGGTTTCGGAGCATCAGTTTGAGGTGTGAGGACATGAAAATGTAGAGAAGACTGGGTTCCTAGTGTCATGGCAGGTGGGATGGCAGGCAAGGCCTGATGGGCCCAAGCAGCTCACTGAATTACGCTTTATGTGTCAGCTGCTTGAGAGTTTTAGTTGGGGGAAGAAATGAAGTCTGTAAAAGGATTCTTCTCTAAATGGAAGGGATCTCCAAAAACTTTCTTAGGTTGTCAGAAGCAGGCAGAATTGAACGCAGCCAAGTACACACCAGTGAATGTACAGTTAAGCGAATAATAATAATGGTAGAAGCTTTTGCTCATTGAGCATCTCACTCATTTCACATTCATGAAACAACTATCAACAAGTCTTAGATGTGATGCTAAGTTGTCACATTATCTCATGTTATTCTCATTAGAACCTTAGAAGTAAATTAGAACCCATTTGCCCATGAGGGATCTTAGGATTAAACTGCTTCTCACAGGCACACATCCAATAAGTGGTAAAGGTAGTAAAGCACTTTTTCTGACTCATTCCATCATGAAATTTTAGCACCTAGTCTGGTGGGGGCCGTGTTTGCTCCTCTGCAGTAAATTGTATTGCAGACCATTTCTCAGAAACGTAGCACACTAGTGTGTGTTGTGATCCTTCTATCCAGTGAGTGACTCTTTATTCATCCTATTTGATCACATCAGGACTGAAGCTTTCAGCTTCTTCTGAGAGGGGCATTAGTGATCAACTGTCCCTCTCTATGGAATTTTACAGAGGTGGAAACAGATGCAGGGAAATGAGGTGGCACGAGTCAGCCAGGGCAGTAGAGCAGGTTGGTTGCAGATGGGGGGTGGAGGGGGGGCAGGGTGGGAGCAGAAGAGACTGCTAAGTACCTGGTAGGGAACTGTGGAACTGAGTACCACTTCTGTCACAAGAAGTGGGAGCAACTTGGTCAACAAATGCTCTGTTATTCCTATGCAGTGTTCCTTGTCTCAAAACCTATTAGTTACTTAAAGAAATTTCAACTCAGAGATTTTTCTGTTAATATACATTAATTATTTTTCAATAAAGAAGTGTTTGGAAAGTTTGGAAATGATTACCACTGTTTTAATATGATTTTTTTAATCTCCAAAGTTCAAATATACCCAATACTCC